TTCTTCCTTCCTTTATTCCTGCATTTCAATATGGTCTTTGAATGTGAGATTGTTGCTTTAGAGCTGACACTGATTACATTCATGTGTAGCTAATTTTCTCTTACAGCCTAGAGGAACTATGAACTTGCTAGTAGATTAATTGGTGTTTTTACTGAATTGAGGATGCTTAATGTAAATTTTGGTTACTTAATCTTGTTCTTTATCTGTCCATTTGATGACTGGTCACCATTAATTGTGAATTTGAAAATTAAAGCTTTCATTGACAAAAGGGATTTTAATTAAGCTCTTAGATTAAGTAATATGGGATTGGATGATAATCTAATTTGTGATTAGGATAGAAATATACCTAATTACCCCATATAATTGTTGATGAGTGAGACCGAGTTGTTTCACCTCTTAGGTAATTGTGAGAGACATTACATAATTAATTTAAGAGACGGTTATAAGTGGACTGACAGATACTTGTAGCTAATTAAATTCTAGATTAACAAAATTGACATTAAAACTAATCAATTCAGTGAAACAAAGTTTAAGAAGCTAGCAAGGGCTTAGTAACTCTAGGTTATTCTTTTCAATACTTGTCCTAGTTAATTTTGGAAAGCTTGGTTTTATTTTATTTTGATTTCTTTTCACTTGATTTCATTAAATCTTGATTTTCTCAACTTAAACGAAACAAGAATTTTTATTGCTTAATCACTGTTAATTGAGTTCTCTGTGGGATCGATCTTGATTTGTCACTGTCTATTTTTACGGCCCGTACACTTGCGGTGAAACAAGTATAGGCCTGGTCCAATATGGTGTGAATAAATTTCAGCCCAATAGATTATTTATAGTCAATGAGGTGATACAATAATCTCTGTTTATTCCCCGAAGAATTAGAATGATTTTGTATGTAATGGGCGGAGTGAGAAAACCAAACGAGCCAACTTTTTGAATTTTTTATAAGGTGCTCATTAAAAATATAGATTATTTGAATTTAAAACTATAGTTATTAAGAAAACCATTTAGAGTTAGCTTCTCAACAAGTCAAAAAGCTTCTCAAACTTTATCCCTCATCAACTTATATTATGGCCCGAATTGGGATCCTTTGTCCCATAAGTTGATGTGTCGCATATACTATAATAATACCCAAAAAAAAACTGCAATTTTTTAATTTAGTGTTGCTGATGATAAGCATGCCATTGCCCTCATCTTTCAGTGCCAGGTAATATTATCCCCATTGTACCCACTGGCAAAGGGCCTCTAATGCGTCTTGTAATGCCCTAAGCTTTTAAACATTTTTTTATTTTTTCTTAATTCTTCATTAGATTCTATATAAAATCCGCGATGTTTTGATATCTTGGGGTATGAAATGATATAATTTTAAAATTTTTATGATTTTTTAGATAAAACTAATTTAAAAATGCGCTTGCCATTTTTCTCTAGTTCTTACTGTTTTAAAGATATTTATTGAATTACTTACAAATACTCAAATTTGTAATATTCAGTTAGAGAAAAATATCTCGCAAATTAAATGAGTGGCATAGGTGTGGGTAAACTACGTGAATGGACTGTTAAAAACTTTGAAAGCAACTATGTAGAATCTACAAATATGACAGAGACTGTTTATCATCTAATGTAACCTAATTAGGAAGTCGTTTTATATAAACCACAAAATACACACACACACACACACCATGACAGTGAAAGGATCAGGAGGAGAAGCTTTTTTGTATAATGACTTTTGCATGTGAATAGTTCACTAGCCGGTTTTGTTGAGTATTGTACGATGGCTTTGCAAGTCAATGTGTATAGATGTGAACCAGGCATATTAGCCGCTTTTGTTGAGTATTTTATAAATATAATTGGCCCACAAAAGGCTCATCTTGATTAAGATGAATCAAGAAGCAAAAAACCGGAGCGGACACTAAACCGGTTGAGATAATGGTTTAAGGGTCAGTGGGTCAGATTGAGGCCAAACTGGGATCAAACCGGTCATATTAAAATACTATAATTTGATGGAAAGTAACAAAATATAACAATGCCAATAGTCACTAATAACAAAATACAAGGAAATACAATAATAGTTTGATTGTAACAATAATAAATTATAACAATATTGAGAATTTTGATCTTTATGATTCCTAAATAACTAAAATTAATAGTTATTGATGCCAAAATTATCATTAAAATCCATTTAAATCTATAATAACTGAGATATTAGAAGCTGAATGAGAAAAAATATAACAGATAGCAAAATAATCATTCTGACCGGTTCATTACCGATTCACACTGATTTTTACCGGTTTTCACCAATTCACACCGGTTTGATTGGTTCAATCCGGTTTGAATCGGTCCCCAGTTTAATCTATGAACCAAACTGGACCACTGATCAGTTGATCGGTTGATCGGTTTTCTGGTTGAACCGGCCGGTCCGATTTGATTTTTTTTACTTTGAGATGAATAGAAGCAGGTCTTTCTTTGGAGCCCATCCAATAATGTAATTAATGTGAAAAGATGAAATCCCAATTTGAAAGCCAGTACTTCTAATGCGGAAAGGGAGGTAAATATAAATTGCCGTTTTAATATAAAGATTGATAAAAATAATCTTTGTTAAAAAAAATATAAAGAAAACCCTAATCCATTATCGGAGATCCGCTCTGGCACCGGCCACCAATGAGGTGGCTACTGGTGGGAATTGTTTTTTGTCTAAAAAAAGAAAATCCAACCTCCCCATGATGGTTTGGGCCAAAAATCATGACCATTAGGCTACCAATACCTATTAAAATGTAGTCAATACTCACAAAAGTTGTTAGCTATTGATAGTCAAAGTTAAGTAATTAACTTATAGCCTCCTTTGGTATAGCTTATAAATAGCTTTTTATCATAATTTATGAAATACGAGGTAAATATGTAAGAAGAATTTTATCTCGACTTAAGTGAAACATGTTTATAAGTGCTTTTAAATGCTATCCCAAATATATATTATTTTGCCTCATGTTAATAGTAAAACATGCCGATTGAATAAATAATTAAAAAAATTTCATTATAAGAAAAAAGTAATGATAGAGGTCTCTAAAAGTTAAATTATTATTTTTCTCATTATTTTGTACTTTTTGTTAATTTAGGTTTATAAATGAATCATAGACTGGGGAAGGACTTGGAATTAACGTTGGGAGGGTTAGAAAATTTGTTGGGGCTGGCCTTTACTCCCTTTTGGAATAGGCTAATAATCTTTTTAGATATTTTTATCCAATTAAAAAGTCAACATCTTTTTAATTAAATGGACAAACACTAACAAATTGGCGCTTATATATAAGCGGAATCAAATCTTCGACTTCTCATTTAAAACAAAGTTTTCATATCATTATATTATACAAGTCCATTGGCTAACAAAGTTTACATTGATATGATTTGAAATACTCAAATTTGTAATATTAAGTTATAGAAAAATATTTCGCATGTGCATGGCATGCTTTAACTTAATAGGTGTTGGTAAACTACGCGTACGGGAATATTGGAAACTTTGGAAGCAACTACTTAGATGTATTTATGATAGAGACTATTCATATCTAATTTAGGTTAAGTTGGAAGTTGCTTTAATTTTATGAAAAAAACGAAACATGACAGTGAAATGATGAGGAGAAGAGAAAGCTAGTCTTTTTTCGTATAATGACTTTGAAAGTCTATGCATGGAAAAACGAAGCTAAAGGACAAGGAAAGGAAAGAAAAATCAAACTCATTCTTTTACGTATAATAAATCTGTCGGTCAATTAATGTCTGGTTCACATGGTGGTTTCTAACTCTGCGGTCTTGGTCGTTGGAAAAATGTTGTTTCGTAAACAGTACTGTAATGTGAATGAGATGAATTCGTCATAATGCGAACTTCTTGGAAATTAGAGGTTAGAAGGATATGGGAAAATTCGTGTCGATTGGTCCCTTTGGTTTAGTAATTTATTTAAGTCGAGTATATAATTTTTATGCCATAAAATTCAATGATAATTAAGTTTCAGTTTTAGCATTTCCTCTTCAGTTGGCTTGCACAGATACAAATTAAATGTAATCACTCTCCCTTGAGCTATATTTTGTAGATAATTATTACCAATTTTTTAATCTGTATTAGAAAATCGAAACAAGAAGACACTGAAAGTAACTAGGAGAAGAAACAATCAAACCAATAAAGGGCATTTTTATCCATTGCTTGCACATGTACAGATGTAAGATTTTCCCTTTAGTTTTTTCTTGTCGGCCACATTTTCCATTCATTTATAAATAGAGCTATTTCTCTTCACTTGTTGCGGCAAGCAAAGAGGAATTAGCTATCAAAAATGAGGAGTCCATCATCGTGCTCCCTTCTTTGTCTCCAACTGTTTTTGTTTCTCTCTCTTTCTTATTCCTTTGCTTTCCCAACATGTCGTCCTGACCAAAGCTTAGCCTTGCTAGACTTCAAAAACTCATTTTCCATTCAAAAATCCAATCCTTCTTCTTTAACTTGGGAAAATGGTACGAATTGCTGCTCATGGGATGGGGTCATATGCAATCCATTGGGTCACGTCATTGGCCTAGATCTTCCTAATGCTTAACTTCATGGTAAACTCCTTCCCAACAGTTCTCTCTTCCAGCTTACCCATCTTCAAACTCTTGACCTTAGTCTCCTTGACTTTCAGGGGTCTCAAATACCATCTAATTTTTCCCAACTTGTAAGTTTAAGAAACCGATCCTTGGTTTTTCGTAATTCTAGTGGTGAAATTCCATCTCAGATTTTTCATCTTCACAAATTGGTTTCACTTCTTATCTATGAGCATTCTAATCATCTCATTCTTAAAGAAAAGACTTGGGGGAGACTCAAAAGAAATGCCACTCATATAAATGATCTTGATTTGTACGGCGTGGATATGTCATCAATACCTTCGGGTCATCTATTTAAGAATCTTTCCTCATCTTTGGTCTCTCTTTGCATTACTAAAGCTGGAATACAAGGAAATTTGGATCAAAATATATTTTCATTTCCCCACCTTCAAATGATAGATTTGGGTGATAACCCAGATCTCAGAGGTTGTCTGCATTCCATTGGGCAAATGAAATCACTATATGCATTGGGTCTCTCATCTTGCCAATTCTCTGGAGAAATTCCACCATCCTTATGGAACCTTACCCAACTTGTTTCTTTGGACCTCTCATACAATAATTTTTCTGGTCAAATCTCATCATCACTTTCCAATCTTCAAAATCTCATTGCTCTTGATTTTTCTTCAAATAATTTTAGTGGTCAATTTCCATATTCAATTTCAGATCTTAGACATCTTGAAGATCTAGATTTGTCAAACAATGGCTTCCATGGAAAAATTCCTTCTTCACTTTTTACTCTACCATCTTTAAGTTATTTGATTTTATCTTCTAACCAATTCACTGGTCATATTGGTGAAATATCTGCTTATTCACTTGAACAGCTTGATGTGTCTAACAACAAGTTGCATGGCCCAATTCCAAGGTCAATTTTCCATCTTCAAAACCTTGAACTCCTGAACTTTTCGCACAATTGTTTTACAGAAAATGTGTTGTGGCACCACTTCTCGTGGAAATACATGTGTTTTCTTGACTTAAGTTCCAATTCCCTTCAAGGAGAGCTCCTTCTATCTATTTGCAATGCTAGCATGCTTGAGATTCTTAACTTGTCCCACAATAACTTCACCGGCACCATTCCACACTGTCTTGTCAGCTCTAACCGTGTTCTTTCTGTGGTGGATTTACAAAATAATAGTTTCTCTAGCATTGTACCTGAATCATTTGACGTGTGGAACAATTTAAGAACCCTAAATCTAAATGGCAACTTTCTAGAAGGGTCATTGCCTCGATCTTTGGTCAATTGCACAAGGCTAAGAGTCTTGGATCTTGGCAACAACAACATAGAAGACGTATTTCCCCATTGGCTAGACACTCTTGAAGAACTGCAAGTACTTGTTCTTAGAGGGAATAAATTGCACAGTTTTATCCCCAGTAGAAACCATGCCTTCGCTATGTTAAGAGTACTTGATGTGTCCAGCAACAATTTGAAAGGTCCTTTACTTGCATCATTCTTCAAATCTTTCGAAGCTATGAGAAGATTAGATGGAAAAACTGGCTTGCAATACTTGAATTATAATAACTCCGGTGATGGCTTTTATGAGGACTCCATTGGGTTGACCTTGAAAGGATCTGAAATTCAACTACAAAAGATATTGACTGTTTTCACAAGCATTGATTTATCCAATAACATGTGTGAGGGAGAAATTCCTCAAATTATTGGAGAGTTCCATGCCTTGAAGGGGCTCAATTTCTCACATAATGGGCTCACCGGTGCAATTCCTATCTCAATAGGAAATTTGAGGTATTTGGAATGGTTGGATTTGTCGTCAAACAACTTTACTGGGAGGATTCCTACTGAGTTGACTAATCTCAATTTTCTTGCTGTATTGAGCCTTTCAAAGAATCAACTTGAAGGTTGCATTCCTAGGGGCCAACAATTTGAGACTTTCTCAAGTGATTCTTTTAAAGGAAACAAAGACTTGCGTGGTTTTCAACTCATGATTCCATGCAACGCCTAAGAGGAAAGACAAGAACCACTTCCAAGTTCTAGAGATGGATTTGAATTTGGATGGAAACCTGTGGTGTTGGGATTTGTATGTGGAGCAGCATTTGGAGCAATGTTGTTTCAGGTTATGATGTTCACAGGCAAACCTCAATGGGTTGTAAGCCTGGCGAATGATCCACCAAAGAAGAGGAAGAGCAAGGTTAGAAACCGTACGTAGTAGTTATGTCAGATTTCCTCTTTCTTTCTTGCTTTTGTTTTTTCTTTAACTGAAATATTTTGCTCTTGAGTTATTTTGCTTTTTGCTCAATATTTTAACATATTTAATTTTGGGAGATCACATTAATCTTTTTTCTATTTGTTTTTCTTATCATAAGTTTAAAATCCGTAATTGTCTTTCTTAGTTAAAAAATGATAAAATATACCTATTTCTTTATTCATTTTGGGTGAAAACACATAATAAACACATCTTAAAAAATTTCGAAATATATGAATCTTAGTTTCATCTACCAAAAAAAACAAATCAAAACAAGACCATGAGAGGGAGAGGAGAAGAAAAATCAAACCAATAAAGACGCATCAAAAAGCTTATTAAGAAAACAACAAGACAATAAAAGGATTAGCAGAAGGAAAAAAAAATTCAAACCAGTGAAAATGCATTATCATATCTTTTATGTTAAAAAGACTTTGAAGTGAATATTTATTTGCGAACAACTTTTTGGGTTGGAAATGACGTTATGAGAGGGTTAGAAAATTTGATGGGATTGGCCTGTGCTTAAACTAAGATGTGTGTGCGTATGCGAAGGAAAAAAACGTAATATAATGTTTTTAAGCCTCAGAACAATAGACTGTGATCCTTCAATGGAGTCTCAATTAAGAAATATTAATTATTAGATCGTAATCTAATAACGTTTCGATAAATATCTGTTCTTTTAAGAAAATAAATATGATAGTGAGGTCTGGAGACTAATCTAGTGATCATCAAGATAATTCAGCATAACTTTTTTTTCCATAAAAGAAAACAAAAACGAACTTCACATGACTTCCTATCTCCCAGTGGAAACGAGTTTATTTTGCTTTTGCTAATAATACTGAATTTCTTATTAATCCACAAAATAAATACTAGTATAGTTTTTTTTTTGTAGGTATAGGTATCTTTTTACTGAAAGCAATCCCGTTCGAAACACTGTTAGACGCTAAATATGAACACCTTTTCTAGTAAAAAGTTTAAAATCATAATTGTTTTTCTTAGTAAAAGATGATAAAATATATCTATTTCTTTATTCATTTTGGGTGAGACCACATGATCATAAACAAATGTTAAAAAATTTCTAAATCTATGAATTTTAGTTTCATTCACGAGAGAAAAAAAAAACAAATTAAACCATGACAATGAGAGGGAGAGGAGAAGAAAAATCAAACTAATAAAGATGCATCAAAAAGCTTGTTTTTTGTATAATGACTCGTGACTGGGGGTCCAACTTAATGTTGAAAAACAAAACAATAAGACAATAAAAATGCATTATCATGCCCTTTATGTTAAAAAGACTTAGAAGTCAATGTTTATTTGCGAATTGCGAATAACTTTTTGAGTTGGAAATGACGTTATGAGAGGGTTAAAAAATTTGGTGCGATTGGCCTGTGTTTTTTCTCTGAGCAGACTTAACAAAATATTTACATAATAATTAATTAATTTTTTTTATAACTATGATGTGTGTGCGTGTGCAAAGAAAATACATAATTTTTTGAGCCTCTGGACAATAGACGGTGATCGCTTAATGGATCGAGTCTCAACAAAGAAGTTATTAGATCGTAATCTAATAATGTTGAGATAAATATCTCTATTTATTTTTTAAAAAAATAAATAAAATAGTGAGGTGAGGAGACTAACCCCTTGTTTGGATGGAGAGAGAATAGGAGAAGAAATAAAACTAAAAAGAAAAATGGGGATAGAAGTGAGTTTTTCTATGAATGAAAAAAACTGGAACAAAAAAAAAGTTAGAGTAGAAATTGAGTGTTAGATCTGTCCTATTTTCTCTCCAATTTTTCTTTCCACATACGGGAAGAAAATTTATTTTCCCTTCACGCCCTCCGTCTTTCATTCTTCATACTATAGTCTTGGCATTTAATAATAATAGTGAATAACATATAATTCATTTATTTCTTTTTATTATATCTAATTTCAAAAAATTATCCTTTTTTTAATCTTTTTTGCCTTGAAAAATAATATTTTTCTTCTAAAATATAGTAACATATTTTTATTAAATAATTTAATTTTAAATTATTTGATAATTCCAACATTTATATGATTTTTTCATTGCAGTACTTAATTTGATCTTAAACACAATATATTTTTAGAGAGAAGGTTATTTTAGTTATTAAGATATTTGCTTATTTTCTTTTCTTCCTATTTTCTCTCAAGTTTTCTCTCCTCTCTATTTTCTCTCTTCCCACTTGTCTTTCTCCTGACTTTTTTCTCCATCCAAATGGAGCAAAACCTAGTGAGTATCAAGATAATTCAACACATTTTTTTTTCAAAAAAGAAAATACAAACAAAGTTCACATAACTTCCTATCTCGCAATGGAAATGAGTAGTTTTTGCTTTTGCCAATAATACTAAATTTCTTATTAATATGCAAAATGAATAATGGTATAGATTTTTTTTTTTCAATGGACACAGGTATCCTTCATATTCAAAATAGTGCCGGACACTAAATATGAATACATCTCTCAATAGAAATCTAAATATTGGTTCATCAAGTTGTGAGAGATTAATTTCTTCTGCTAGCTCCGATCTCAGCATTATAGATTTTTTCTTTGGTGCAAGGTAGGATAGATTTTGTATTGTTTCATGCCCATTAAGTGTATCTTAGATAAGACCCAAAACAAGCATTGACCTGATCCAGTATTGGCGTTCATCTATTTCAACCCAGGAGATTATTAACAGTCAAGGAAGAAAAATCTTCTTCTTTTTTATTTCCCTGGGGAATAGAATAATCTTATATGTGTGGAGTGACATAACGAAAATCAAATTCTTATCATAAGAACCTTCAACTGTTTCATAATATGATTCCTAACTAATTACAAAACTTTTAGCTAAATAACCAATCTTCTTTAGCTAATGAATTTTATTGAGAATGATTTTGACATTTTGCAAGAAATAACTAATTTTAATTAATTTTATTAATCTACTCAAAGTTATTATTAAGCCTTTATAATATTAACTAAGGGGAATAATAACTTCTTCTTTTTTTGGCTAAAACATAGGTATTCTCCTATTGGAGGCAATCCTATTCAAGACACTATTGAACACAAAATATGGGCACCTTTCTCGGCGGATATTCAAACTTCAGTTAGTTATGTTATGAGGGACCAACGCCTTTTTCGCTAGACCCAACGCTTTTTTTTTTGTTACAAAAGATAATAGCTGAAAATAAATTAGAACAATAGGGATTGAGATCCCAAAGCCTCTTTATCTACCAGTGCCCTCATGTGTTGAGGAGCAATGTCAAGAAGTGCAGTAGTTGTAACTTGTAAGTCCCATCTTTGCTAGCCCATCAGTAATTTGGTTGCATTCTCGAACAAATTGAACCTTGACGCTCAACCCCTGCTGGTAAGGGAAATAATTATTTCTTGTGCCAAACGGTTCTTCCATGGCCCAAGCCTTTGCCTGCATGCGGCTTCAACAGAATCCAGAGGCCCAATATAAGATTGCAACTTCAAAAACTTTTGAAATAATAATAAGAAACAAAAATGAAAGTTTATAACTGCAAGAAAGTGGCGTGCGCAGAGAGAAATGTTGGAGCGATGAGGACAACGTGGGATTCTGTTATATATATGCGTCGCACGCCAATAATTCCTAATATTTATACGCCTCATTATTTAATTAATATATCTTGTGCTTTCCGTGAATATCATAAGTTTATATCGTCCTTGACCTCTCAGAAGCAAGAAACAGCCATTAAATGGGTGTTCAGATAATATCAAACCATGGTTTGAAGAACAGTTTCTGGAGAACAGATTCTGGAGAGAATAGATTTTTTGAAAAATAGATTTTGTAAAAAAAAATGATTCTGAGAAGTGAAAGTATTTGAATAGTTGTTACCAGAAACACTTTTTACATGTGTAAATTACTAAAAAAGATATAAGTTAATATGACAATTATATAAGAGATAGATTTTATAATATATTTTGATTTGAAGGAATAAAATTGTTAATAAAATAATTTTTACCAACATAATTAATAATATATAAGATAATATAATTAATAAATAATTAATATGTATATATATTTATAAATTATAAGATTAAATATGTTTATAGAAAAATGATTATTTTTTTCTAATAGAAAAATATTAATTTGCTTTAAAGATTTTAAACATGAAATTCTATAACATTTTTTCACAACTAGTTTTTATAATAACACACTACCTCTTATCTTTAATATAATAAGTAGTTATTACTACATGTGTAAAAATATTTATAAAATATAAGATTAAAAATATTTTTGAAAAAGATGAATAATTTTTTATAAACAGAAAAGAAATAAATAAAAAAAAGTACAATGTAACAACATACTACCTCTTTCTGGTTAAAGAAAAAAAAAAAACATACCAGCTCTCTAAACAGTAAAGGACCGGAAGATTGAAGCTTGAGGGGCATATGTGTCTAGTCCCAAAAAAAGATCCTCGTATCTGTATGACACTCTCCAATTTTTTTTCTAAAAGTAGATTCAAAATGCTTTTTCCAAAACCATGATTTTGATTTTTTTTATGGGTATTTGGTTTTTTTTTCCCAAACCATGATTTGGAGAGACACCCAAACACACCCTAAACATGAAGAAAAAGAAGGAGGAGGAGGAAGAATCCATCATGTGCTGCTCTGAAGACGGTAAATGCAGGCTTTTGGGGTTTCTGCTAGGGCTTCTCTTTGCCTTCTTGTCTCTGCCTCTCTCTCTTATCGGTGTTATCATTTGGATTGTTGGGTAAGTCTCAGTTATTTCAAAGAATCCTAAGT